AAATATCAAATTGTTAATTTCAGTTCATTTAATTAATTTTCAACGTTCACTTAGCAAAGGTTTACGTTGCAAATGGTTGATATGCGATGGCGATTCATCTACATGCGATAGAGTATAAAATATATATGTTGAACAAGAAACATCTGATGAAGATCTTACAGCTGATAATGATTTAATTGTTTTAAAAGTGGATTGCATAAACCATATAAAAAAACGAGTTATAAATAGATTAAAAGACATAAAACCGTTTGGCGGTTCAGTTGATCGAATGACCGAAATGTATGATCTTGCAATACGACAGGGAAGCAATGAAATACAAGGTAACAATTAATATTGGAAATGATACGTTCGAAGAAAAAATTTCGTGCTTTATACTTCTTTTTTTGAACGTTTTTAGAAAACGATGAAGGTGAAGTAGAATCAGTTGCTAGACTTCAGAAAAAATGTTTATAGTGGGATCTGAATTGTTCTCTCATTTTTTCACATACAAACCGTTTTCACTATTTTAAAAGTTTGAAATTATACCTTTTTTAATCCTTTAGGAAAACGTAGCAAATGGAAGTTTAATTTATAATCTTCGTCGACATATGGCGATTCAGCATAGCATCGAACTTTATATCAATAACTCTTCCTATCGAAGAGAGAAGCATGCATCTCAACAAATACCTACTATCAATACAGAACGTTGTGCTGAAATAGATAAGTTATTAATAAATTGTATAATCCATAGTTCCAAACTTTGTCTACAAATCTTCTACCTGGTTATACTCCTCCAGATAGACGAACATTCCGAAAACGAATGAAATATGAATATGATACGTATATTAATGAACTTAAAAAGCTAATTCCAAAAGATAGAAATTGCTCTTACTACTGACATATGGAAAAGTTCAATAGGACATCATTACATTTGTCTTACTATTCATTTTTCAACAATGAATTACAACCATTTTCTTTGCTATTATCTTTTCACCGTCTAACTAGTACAAAATTAAGCAAACATCTAAATAATTATCTTCAATATGAATTAAAAAGATTTGGACATGAAAGTATTTTCTATGCAGGTATTAGCATTTGGAAGAAACCAAGTGAAAAAACGTTAGTAATTTTAAATTATTTTCTTAAAACAGACCTAAAAGAAAGTTAGTCACAAGTCGTTATATTCACAGACTAGCAGAAGTAAGATATCGAGTTCGTGAAATAGAATATATCTTTTATATTTTTTAACATCTATCTGATTATCAAGATCATGTGTGATAGTGCTTCAAATACGAACAACTAAATAATATTCAATATAACTGTTGAAATATGAATCTACAAATTATTTCTGATCATCTTCAATTATACTGATTTATCTTTTTTGACAAGATGTTATATAATTCAGAATCGTTTTTATGAAAATAAATCACTAATTGTTGCAACTAACAGACATTATTTATAAAAATTCCGAATGAAATTGTACCATTTTCAAATGTCAATGAATGCATTATTGTTTATTTCTAGGTATCCTTCTAAACCATATGACAAGAATGCCTTAGCAGAGGTGTGCGGGTCACGGGTTTTGACCCGCGGGGACCACGTGGCCACTTGGCGACGGGCGGGCGGGGAAAGTTTTTTGAAAAAGTTGCTCGGATCGAGCGGGCCACGGGTGTTATAAGGTGGCGGGAGGGTCGGACGGGTATAAAAAAAATAAAATAGTACGATCCTCGGGCGGGCGAGGATAATTTTTCACGGGTTACGGGCGCGTAAAAATGTTTTGGAAGTTCGATAGAGGACCGTTGAGAACAATCGGTAGACATCGTTATATTACACTTGTGATAAGAAATAAAACGATTACTTGATTATTCTACACCTATCACCATGAAGGTAACTAAAGAATCCACTTTTTTTGGCAAGAGCAAAAAAGTGTAATACCTAATTTGTCCAAACTAACAAAAAAGATATTCTAAATTTCAGTTTCAGCAGCAGCAGTTGAACGTCCATTGAGTTCAGCTGGTGTCATTATATCTCAAAAAATAAATAACATAAATCCATCTTTAGTCAACGATATGATTTTGGCTCGATAGGACCACTAAATTTAGGCCCACAGATTTTTTTGTCTCGGGCATTCAGTCATGCCATAAATTCCAAAATGTTTAGGGTCGAGCCCAAAGTCAGAATAAATTTTCTGTATCCTTAATTAATTACGTAATTTTTATTATCAAGTAATAACCTTCAAAGTGCTCAACATCATGCATTTTCTGAGATCGCAATGATGGGTAGAACGGCATAATACTCAGCACTGCTGTCCTGCTGATCATTACGATTTCTAAAAGTGCATGGTTCTGTGCATTATGAATTTTATTAATTAATAATAAGGTTGATTAATTATATTAATGTTCTGTTTGAAAAGCCTATCTGGCCGTAGAACAATAGGTCGAAAAGTTTCTGAATTTCGAGCCGAACTGAAATTCATATAACCCTGTTCGTTGTGATGCTTTTTATTTAAACGCTTAGCATACATAATGTGGAATATTTTTTCTTGTAATAAATCTCGTTAAATGACAAATAAATTAAATATACAAAATGAACAATTTACGAAACTTTAATTATTAATTGAAATATTCTCGGGGTAACACGGGCGGGGCGAGGCCCCGCCAGAAAATTGACGGAGCGGGCGGGCTAAGAAAAAAAGCAAACTGCACGGGGGACGGGCGACGCGGGTTTTAAAATTTGACGGGACGGACGAGGCGGGGAAGAGTTATAAGAATTGACCCACGGGGGCGGGCGGGACGGATTTAAATTACTACACGGGGCGGGGCCCGCGGGGCATCAAAAATCACTGCCCCGCACACCTCTGATGGCTACATCGCTTTCGATTGGTATTGAATAGATTTTGTACATAATTTCTTCCATAAAAACAGATTTAAATATGATTTTATAGATGACTGGGAATCTATAGTTTCAAAATAAATGAATGAGTGGATGATGATCAGTCACTTTTGTCGTTCTGTTTTTTGACATGGTATCTGTACTAAAAGGTATACAATCTCTACCTGATACTATTCCTCTATTGTATTCTTACCCACGGTAAGTGTTACTCATATAAATGAATAATAGTTTACTCACCGTTTTTGAAAAAAAATAGTGATATCACTGGTAATTGTTGACTATATACTTTAGATGTAAGATAAAAGAATTTTAATTCTTTTCTTTCTTTTTTTCTCTTAGTAAAGATATAATGCGATAAAAATAAATATTGTACAGAGTAACTGTCTAATTCGAATTCGAAAATAATTTTAACTTTCAAAAATTCCTTCGAGGTATCAATAGATGTAAAGAATTGTTTTGATATTTTATTTTATTATGAATTAATAGATTTTATTTTTAACTAGGATATTGTACAACATTCAATGAACAGTTGGAAGTAGTTTATGATTGAGAAGAAGACGATAGTAAGGTGGTTGACCAATTTGCAATGTTTTACAAGCCAAGTTTCTCTCATAGTATCGACCAGTAAGATCGATTTTATTATGCATGTCCATATTGGAATTCGCTTTCAACCAAGCGTTCAGACTATTATGTACGATTGTTTAAATATCTACTATTGGTATTTGATATTTATTATGTAAGAGACATGCTAATGGTTCTATATGTTTTGTATATATTGTATGATGAAAATAGAGTGTTGAAATAACTGTTCTAACGTTAGATTCACTTCTAGTTTGCGCTACGGGAGATTGCGAATATAGTATAGATGATGCCAATTTTCCTCCACGAATAATTTTATTTTTTTCACATTCGGAATCTTTCAAAAGTATACCACTAAATTGTTTTTGTTTCATATCAAACAAATAAGCAACATTTTGAGTATGAGCATCTGGTATCCATCGAATAGCTATGAAATGAAGTTGTGCACTGATTATTCCATCTGAAATATCTTTGAATAAACTAACAGGATCAAAACCAAATTCAACTTGTTATGATCTCTGGTATACACCAGATCATATATATCTTCTTTTCT